TCCTATTTTGAGGTGATTATTTTCCTCCTCTGAAAAGTCCTCTGCTGAACACAGATCTGGAGAAAGTTATAGAGATAGCTCTGTATCGCTGGGTTCAACAAGAGACCTCTTTCACCATCTCCATGACCTTCTTGTTCGAGATTTCACAGACCCAACAAAGCTTGATGACATTCTGGCACCCCAACTCCAGGTTCCATAGAGACCAACCAGAAAACAAAGACAAATGTCAGAGGCACTTTACAATGTCATTTCTACCATCCACTTGCAGCAAATCTATTGCTGTCATCCTGTCTCCAGTCCAAGAACCTCAACTTGCATGCTTCCAATGAGACCCAAAGAGCCTCAACCAGTTCCTGCTGTCTGGTCTTGTCTGAAAGGTTTTGTGGTTCATGCGGTGCCAGTCTGCTTTGTGATTCTGAGCACCGTAGTACTTCAGCTGGTACCACAATCTCCTCTACTCTCCCTACCTTTGGTTATGGACTACTGATCCATCAGACCCACAAATACTGACCCTGCTAAGAGAATCATCCCTGATTTCAAGTCCATTTGCTCTGGTCATGGAGGTCTCTTCCTTAGATTCTTCTTTTGGCTCAGAAGATGACCAGGATCCCACAAATATGTTTGGACTTTACCAGAGGTATTGGACTCCCTCTTGGAAGTAGTAGCAGACTTTTTTGCCCCCTCTACAAGTCCATGGGTTTCCGGCTCAGTAGCTGCAAGGATCTTTTACTCAAGTCCCAGTGTTGTCCATTCTGGCAGCAACTTGGGGCAGCTCATATTGACCAGGCTGCTCCTCTTCAACTTTTACTTCGAAGTCTTTTTGTATCAGGGAGGTTCCTCAAATCTAATCTTCAGGATGAGGCAATTGCCCGAGAAAGTTGGCTGGCTGCTTCTGTCCCAGCTGATACTAGTGTACGCCCTTCTGCAACTTAAATGGTTTTCAAGACTTTGTGAGATGGATTGCCCAGATGTTGCAAATTGCCGTGGAAAAGATCAGTGAGCCCTCCCAAAAAGGGCAAGGATTGTCTGGTAAATATCTGCCACTTCTTGGCCTGACTACATGGAAGGGTGGACTAACAGTATTAAGTCCTTTGCAAAGGCGCTGAATTTTTACAATCTCCCTTGACCTTCCTTTCTTGTTGCTGCAGCCAATAAAAAGGCAAAGTAGCTATACCTTTGATGCATGCAGTCAGAGCTGTGAAATGTCTTTTCTTCAGGGAGATGTCTCCTGGAAACGGAAGTAACTTTCTTGCTGGACCAGTGTTCTCTGACATGGTTTAAGGACCTATCTGGTATATTCAGAAGAGTTTCATTGGTGACTGTTGAGACAGATGTGTCCTTCTAAGGATGGGGAATATATATTGGTGTGTTTTCTTATAGGATCTCTTGTCTTCCAGGAGCACAAAGCTCCATGTTGACATCCTTGAGATTTAGGTTGTACACAGAAACACCAAGCATTTTGCACCACATCCTGAGGCATTGCATTCAGATAATGATAGGTAATACAAGCAAAATGTTCTACATCAAAAAGGAGGAGAAAAATCTTTCCCTTTAAGTGGTCAGTCTCTGGAATTAAGTCATCTGTCATCAGATGCACATCTCAGTGGTGCACTTTCTTGATTCTCACTATACCAGAGTGAACAGTGCCAGCAGATGCATCTCCCTGCACCATGAAAAGGAAATCAGAGAATCTGTCCTTCAGGTCATTTTCTGAGATTCTTGCTACCTAGAGACTGACTTCGGACATCAACAGCAAGTGCTGGTCTTTCTGCCCTAAATACTAGAGGGGAAGCAGGGAGCACTTGGCCCAAGTTCACCCATTCTGTGGGTCACGGAGACTCCTTTTTGGGTATACTTTTTTGCCCATATCTTCAATTCCACAAGTGTTGCACCATAAAAGCCAGGCCTCAGGGATATTGGTCATAGCGGTGTTGGTCTAAAGACATAAGCAGACAAAACTCTTGGGGTAGAAGCTATATCTCTTATTAGACCAACTAAATAGTAGCAAAAAAAATGTGAAACATGGAAGATATAATTAGCTGTTTTGAAATGAAAACTTTGCAACTGAGCAAGGAAAGCAAAATTCAGCACCCTGCCTGCCATCTGACACCCAGGTAACCAGCCTGCTTCAGCCTTTGTCTGTGCTTAATTTGCATGCTCACACAGCAGCTTTATACAAATGGCCTTTTCCACCCAGGGGGACCCTACCATCTCTCAGTTCCTCTGTCCAAAATGAAGTTTCTTTTTTTATCTGGGAGAAATTTTATATTCTTTAAATTCTCCCTTGCCTGAAGAAGGGTGTTTCGGGCCGAAAGCTTGCGAGGAGAGAGAAATTTTTTGCTACTATTTAGTAGGGCTGTGCAAAGCTGATTCAATTTGGCGGAGATTTGGCCCGATTCGACAGCCGAATCTCCTAATCGAATCAGGAGTCCCTTTAATCTCTCCGAATCGAATCAGAACCCTCCGACTTGATTTGGAGAGATTCGAAGAGATTTGATGATTCAGACATAGACATAGCTTTATATATTTTTTTCTACTTACCTCAAGATGCCAGGTGGCTTGTGAATGCTAAGATGGTGGGACAAATGGACACTGATCCAGTCTAACTTTCCTTAGCCTAAGAGAGGTGACAGGATCACAGACCAAGTGGAGTGGATTTTAAGCAGGTTAACACATGGAAGCCAGTCATTAAAGGACAAAATGGATGTTTAGTTAGTATAAACCTCATTGACCCCACTGCTATTGTGAAATCTGCCCAGTAAACAGTAGCTAGTTATAACTGCAACAAACTGACAGTTTCCAGAGGCCCAGTAAGTGTAGTAGTAAGTTCTGCAGTGGTGCAAAGATGGTTGTGAAAGTCACCATCCATTAAAGTTGTCTTTTTCTTTGTCAAGTGAAGTTTTCCAAACCTCACTTCAAGAGCAGCAAAACTAGAAGGAATATGAACCAGCCTTTCCTGTGTTACAAGGGCACAGCAGTCCCTTGGGAAACGGTAGTTGAGTTTAATCTTTCCTTCAGCTGCCTCCAATATGCATATCATTCTTCATGCAAGGGTTCTTAGCTCTGCGTGTTACAAGTCTGCAGCATTCTCCAATCCTTTTCTGAGCCTCAGTAGCTTATGTTGCAAGCCTGTGTGACAGATGGGGAACTGGTATTTTAATAGCAGGACTTTTTAATTTCAAATGTAATTGTTAAGAATTTAAACCCTGGGTAGGGGGCAGTAGGACTTTGAAGGGAAGGAGTAAATTATATATTTGCTTCTCTGCTGTGCATTAACATTTTGGGGGCTGATGGTGTACTTAAAAGTTGCAATGTAATTTAAACCTCTCTTGGTTCGGTCCCTTATCAGCTGATGACTCTGAGTTATGACAGCTTTTTAAGAGTTACTTTTCTCTCTTTAGCACTGCAAAACTTTGAAAGCAGTTCTTTGCCTTCAGTTCCTTCTAATACAGAGTTCGCTTACAGAGGATAAGTCTGAGATAATGTCCTATAATTATCTGGAAAGTGTGACCTTCTAGTTAAGGTACATACCTGAGAGTCAGATCTGGTTTCCTTTCATGATTCCTGTATGAGTTTTGGTAAATTTTCTCATCTGGAAATTTGGGATTATAATTCTTTCAAGGAAATTAATTAACATATGTAAAGTAGGTAGACTTTTTGGATGAAAGAGGTTGTAGAAATTCAGACTAGTGGTAACATACCTACAGTAGAAGTGTATAAAGAAATTAGTTACTGGTTTTATCTTTCTTACTTACACTTAAGGAGAGTTCTTAAAGTCCAAGTGCTATATTTACAGTTCACTGGTATGTAAAAAGTGCTATAACTAAGGGAATGGACAGCAGATAGTATAGTGAAATGTTCAGTGCAGTGGAACAGCAGATAATCCCTTTTGCTTTGAGGACAGCTTCAGAATGTATTTTTTCCACATGGGGTAGAAGAGATTGCTTATGGAATAGAGATGAAGTAGCTTGGAGAAAAAGAAAAAGTATTCCTTGTTGACATGGTAGATGGGGTGAAAGTTGGGCTTGGATGGTTATTTTTATGAATGACACCCCCCACCCTGCACCCAGCCTGAATCAGAAACATTTGGAACCTAGGGCCATATATGCTAAGGTTTTCTAGTCAGGCACAGTGTTTCTCTGATTGGTCTGATGCTTGTTGTGTATAAGAAAAACTGTTGTGAGGTTAAAATTAGTAGTAGGAAAATTAAAAACTACCTTAATTACTGGTCAATAATCTCATATATCTAATTGCCATTCAGTCCTAATGAATAATTTTGAGCCCCGTATCCCTTTTCCCCTCCTGGAAGTTGTCCAGCATTTATTGTGGCCAGAGCCTAAGGTTGCCTTAATGATGCCCTCTCCCTGTTCTTGTCCATTTGTGTTTGATCCTGCAGTCAGCTGTGGAGTAATGTATGAAGTGACAAGGATAGTATCTTGATTACATCCAGATGCTTGGAAGAAGTCAAGGGCAGAGAGGCCTGTCATGTAGCAACGGATACAGCAAACTGCCCATTATAGAATATCAGATATAGATATAAAATATGCCCTATAGTTTTGAAACTTTTTCCTCTTAGAGGGATTGGCTAGACACACAACCATTCCTGAAAACAGTTGAGGGTTGTAGTCATAGCTACCATGTTTAATGAGAAAAGCACCATGTTAGTTGTGCTTGGCTCTCAAACTATGTTAACTCCTTCTGACAGATCAATTGTATTCCCTTCAGCAGGAAAGTTAGTGCTGTTTGTGTGTCTTTTTGCATTAAAGAGTCATGCCCACACTTAGAAATATAGGGCTATTTTAAACAAACTTTAAACTTCTCTTATGTTTCTTTCCATGCTGTCTCTCATCCTTGAGGATTGTTACCTGTGGGATTTAGTGAGGTGGTCCAGGAATTACCTATAATTCTGTTTTCTATGGGTAGTCTTGCTGCATCCTCTTGACTGGGTTACAGTGCTGCTTGGACCAGGAATGTCTTAATATGGCTGTTAATCACTGCAGGTTTGGCGGGAGTTTCCTGATAGGCTGGTTGGATATCCTGGTCGCCTACATCTCTGGGACCATGAGATGAACAAATGGAAGTATGAGTCAGAATGGACCAATGAAGTCTCTATGGTGCTCACAGGGGCAGCTTTTTATCACAAGGTAACAGGGATATCAAAGATAAATGGGAAGTTAGTGTATGTTGCAACATGCGACGCAGTGATATAAAGGGATTTTATGTCAGGCTAACATTTCTGATGACCTTTCATTTCAAGCATTCATTTTATTTTTCAGCCTTTAGTTATTTATAATTAACATTGCAATGTTTTAAAAGGCATGTCATTTAGAAGACAGGAAAGGCAGTTGTACCTGGGTTTTTAATAGGAAAAGCATGAAAAATGGGTGTGCGTTTATATGGTGATGGAGTCCACAGTATGTTAGGCATTGTATACATATACAGGAAACTGTCTTCTTTGCTCCAAAGAGCTTGTAATTTAATGTATAATTTTTATGAAACGCTTGGCTTCTATTTACTATTTTCAAATGCCTTTCTCAATTGGAAAAAACCAACCCTCTACTATCCTACCCTGATTATAGCGTAAGAGACCAACTGTCATACGGATCAATATTTTTTTCAAAGAGTCTGTCTCCTAGTTAAGTATCTAAATGAATTGGCCAGATTTTCTGATATGCCACCACTGCCTAATAAGAATTATCCCAAGAACCAGTTGCTGATGTTCTGCTCTCTTGCCCCTGCTACACAGACAACCAGTCTGCATCCTACTGTATTTTGAAAAGCTGGCTATTCCATGAAACTAAAGTAGAATGTATTTAAATACTATAAATTGATGGGATTTGTTATTACACGGTGAATGAGATATTTTAATTAAAGCTCTGAAAGAGGAAAAATAAATATTGAGAAATTTCTTATTTCATGGTGTGAAGGAAAAGTAATTGTTATGCGCAAAGAAAAAAACATATTTGTGTGCCTAGCAGCCTAATGGTGTCACTAACTTGACGGGAAGCATCATCCCTTTCACTTTATGGTGAAGTGTCCTAGAAACAGCTGCAATGGCTAGACTCTGAGGATCAAGGTTTGTTCACATGCCTTTCCTCAGTTGTCTGCTGTTCCCAGTGATTTTACTATTTGCAGGCTTACAGTTGCTGTAAGTGTATTTAAAGCTGCAGTCTTCTTTCTCCCTCTTATCGTGCAGTATTTTAACTACCTTTACACCTACAAAATGCCTGGAGACATCAAGAACTGGGTGGACGCTCACATGAACTGTGAAGACATTGCTATGAATTTTCTAGTGGCAAACGTTACGGGCAAATCGGTTATTAAGGTGGGATTTTTTTAGCAATTTATGTTTGTTGAAAATGTTATAAAATATAAAAGATGTATGCGTGTGTTTGGTAGATTTGACTATCCTCCTTTTATCTGTTTTTTTTCCTTTCTCATTGACTTTTACAATGATTCCCACTTTTCTTTCCTCAGTAGGAATGGTCCTACTCGGTGAAACTAGCACGTCAGTTGGGAACATGAGGTTGTGTTCCCTGTTAGTTACTGGTGTTCACTGTAGCCAAGTAAAAGAAGATATGGAGAGGGTAGATTCAGTAATAGGAAAAAAATATTTAAGATTACCAGAGAGAGAAAATTGGCAACTATCCCTGGCCCTGTCTGTCATGACTGACAACAGCTGATTTATAGGAATGTTAATTGCAAGAATGTTAATTGTAAGATCAGTTTTAAATGAACTTTTTATCCTTGAATTAATTTCCGGACATGTTTCGACACGTTTTCAGGTCTGGACATTTGCTCTGTACATTCATTTCAAAGTGTGTCAACTAGGAATGAGATTTAGAGGCCGCCAGGCATTACTTCAATTAGCGAGGTCCACTTTCCTGCCTGTCCATCATCATTTACTGGGACTGGTAGCTGCGTTTCCTAGAACAGTCTTTAGAAGATAAAGTATGTGTTTTTGCTGAAAAAGTTTCTGAGCCATACAAGGGCACTGCAGAGTAATTTGGCACCTCGGTATGATTGGAGAGTCTTGCAGAATTTGCCAGTCAACTAGTAACTCGAGTGAGCAAAAGAGCGTCTGTTGGATTAAGGTTACGGTGAAGTATGGGAAGCTATATTTCATCGCTGTTATGGCTGCAAGAACAAATGGTGTTTATACAGGGACCTTGGCAGTGAGAAAACAGTCATTAAACAGGAATTAAGGAGCTTGTCATCGCCACTTCTTTTCAGTTACAGAAGGCAAAACCCCTCCAAGCCGTTTTTATTGGGCCCCCGTGCATTTTGCAGTCAGCCGGGCCAGATGAAATTGAATGGAGGAATGGCGTGGCTTTTTATTTTCTACCCTTTGGAGAGAGCTCGGCTTACACTGCAAGCATGTTCAGAAGTATTGTGCTGTTTTCTGGGCAAGGGGATTAATATCCCTTCTGTTGACTATGATGATGATGTCTGTCATGCCTTTGTGCAGGTGACCCCACGAAAGAAATTTAAATGTCCAGAATGCACGGCCATAGATGGGTTATCGTTGGACCAGACGCACATGGTAGAAAGGTGAGTGAACCTCCCTTTGTTGTCGCAGTTGCCTCCTTGCAGTTCCCAGAAACCGTTTTTTGTCTCTTCAAAATTTAAACTACAGATATCCCTTTTGGATTCCTCAGCTCCCCAGTTGCCACACAGATCCAGTCAGCCCAAGTGTGGGTCATTTGTACACTGGTTAATGGGACACTGCAAATGATCTCCAGTGAAAAGTAGGCTGCTTCTGGGAAGGGTTTTGGAAGGTCACCAAATTTAGCAGCTCTGCTATAAACTATAGACTGTATGTATGAAATTCCGTATTGATAACAGGTATTTCTAAGGCAATCATTTCGTTCTATCGTGGAACTTAAAATGTAATGCACGTTTGATTTTGTTTTTTAAACTGAAGCTGTTAATAACTTATCAAAGAGCAATTGATTAGTAAGGATTAAAATAACTGAAAAAGCATTAGTAGCGCTATAACTGACTTTTGAACAATGCCTTTCCTCCAAAGATCTCTAAACACGCCGGTTCTACTACTGAGATGGAAATTCCTGCACAGTTGAACATAGCAGCTGTTAAACAGTGGGAGCAACATTATTCTCTAAGGAGAATTTAATTTTGCTAGGCAGTATGTAGCTGGGAAGTCAATATTGCAAAGAGTTGAGGGCAAAATAACTTGGAGTAAGCAAGCATGCAATTATTGTTTCTCATTCTGCAATTGCCTGGTGTACCCGTGGCCAAGATGCTTGCCCCTCCATCTCAGTTTTCAAATCAAAGAGAGAATTTACTTGCTTTTTGTGAAGTTCCAAGATTATCCTTTTTTTTTAATAAAAAACAAAAACCATCTGAGAACGAAATGACTTGTTACTTAATAACTGAAATTTAGCCAAAAGCTAGCAAACCTGCCTATCCTCAGCATTTCTTCATAGGGTCCTGAAGTGGCATTTCCCCCTTAGGCCTGTGTTCTTTCCTTCCAAACAATATTGGTGCATACTTCTTGATGTTCAGACTTCATATGTTAGCACTCATTTTCACTTTAAACTCATTCTCACTTGCGCTAAAAACTCTTCCAACTATACAGTTGGTCCCACAAAAGATGTTGCCCCCAAAAAGCCCTTTGTCTCTTATGTATTTCCTGGACTATCATAGCTATGACATCACTCCAGTGAAACCCATTCATATTCTGAGGGTGGGATAAATGTGAGGAACAACAGTGCTTCAGGAGACCTGCAAAAAGAGTGACAATACAAAGTCAAGATAGGCATTTGTTTGTGGTATGGTAGAGGCACAAAATCAGCTGATGCAAGTCTGAGTTGTATGCACTGATCACCATGGTTTTTCTAGTCCCATTTCACAGGGCTCTGATAAGACTCCTTCTGGAGTGTTGCATTCTTTTGTGGGCCCTTTGTTATTAGAAATATATCTTTATGCGTATTCAGTGAATAGCTGCAAACATTGTTAATAGCCTGGATAGATTGATTTATGAAAAGAGGGTGAAAAAAATCAAGTATTTATATCGGGGACCGGCACTGTTTTTGGACAGAGTCCCAAAAACACCCACAACCTCGACGTGTAAGATGTTGGTGAGCCGGGGCAGATGGCGGGGTGGGCAAGGGTCACAAGGAGCCTGATCCTTGTTTTGGCAGTGCAGCTCCAGCCACTTCCCTGCCATGCCACCCTGAGGCATATCCATTGGGCAGAATAGTTCCACGTGCCACATTCTGGCACGTGTGCTGAGGGTTGCCTACCCCTGACTTATATAGTTCACATGAAGGATGGTTAATGTGGGACAAAATAATTTTCAGGTACAGAACACTGTAAATATTGGGAATGGTAATTGATTTCTAAGGGGGTGGGACAAGGGTATATAGATTAACTTAAGGAAAGGAAAATGTAGGATGAATATCAGAAGATACTTCCTAACAATAAGAGAGATTATCTTGTAGAAAAAAATTCTTAAGATATCAGTTGAAAACTTTGGGAAACATAAATGTAATTTGAGTGAAGCCTTAGAAAATGTGGTATAGGTAACAATCCTGTATTGTCTAGAGAATGGACTAGATGAGCCTAGCATTACTCTTTCTCTTTATATTGTAATACCCCGAAACACCATTCGTGGACTGGAATCTGATTGCAATTGGTACTTTAAAAACACACACAGAAAAACAGCCTTTACTTACAAGAGAACTATAGTAGGGACAGGATGCCAGATGTATAACAACTTCAGTATCCCAGAAGTGTTGCTATCATTTCAATGAATATATCTTTAAATGTGTGATTTCCTTTCCTCTCATATAAATTTCCACCAGCAGAGGCAACTAAGCTGAGAAAGTGTCACATTAATTGCTAATCCAAGTTGCTTATTCCCTGACTGTATGAACTACAGATTATCCAACTAATGGAGAAGGGTATTGCATCTATACCTGAAAAAGAATATACCACACATTTTACAGCTCTTTGCACTTCATTTTCAAGTTTGTTAATAGGGTAATTTTGAACAAACCCAAGTAGCGTAAACTGTTACTTGCCATGTGACTATGAGCCATTGTATCTAGCAACTTCCATGATCCATCTAATCCCAGTTTATCATTGCTTGCTTTGAGTTAGTGGGAACTAGCTGAAAATCTTGAAGCTTATCCATTTTTTTTTTAATGGGATACTGTAAGCTACCTATTTGTTTTAATAGTGTAATAAACTACAACAACTTTTGGTGCAAGTTTCCATTGACTCCATAGTGACTAGAACTGTACTTTGGTTTGGGTTTAGGTTTTATACTTCTGATTCATGCAGACACTGGTCCTATATATTAACTGCTTTCTGCTAGGCCAGAGGACAATCTGGTTGAAGGGACTGCTTATAACAGGCAACCCAGAACACAAGTTAGAAGAATAACTTACATGATTTAACTGTAAATTGCATAAATCACATTATGTAAATGTACATAAATATTTAATGTCCACTGGCTATAAGGAAGCCGCAAGGGATGAGGCTGAGAGTTATAACCAAGTCCACCTGTAACTAGCCAAGTTACCAAACTCCTGGTTTCTTGCCATTCAGAAGTTGTGACAAACATATGACTCTTGACATAGAAGTCAGTAACAGGCTTAAATGTCCAGCAGTCAATCTGGTGGTTGTTAAGGGCATGTTGAAGAGTAAAAGTAGTCAACCTCTAGCTCACAGACCAATCTGGCCTGCCAAAATATTTCATTTTGCCTGTGAAGTTGGGACATCTGTGGCAATTATCTGGCAAAGGGAAGCCGTAGCTAGGTTGTTAGTGCATCAGTGACAATTCAGCAGCGGTGGGGGGTGGTAGTGGTGCTGGCATTAGGTAATAGTAGAACAGAAGCCTGTCATCAGACTGAGCTTTATTAATTTGTCCTGCTCCTTATAAAAGGTAGCCAGCCCCTGATGTAGAGGACTGCTAAGGAAGGTGCATCGCTTTTCAGTTTTGAGTGTCAGGCTCAGAATTAGCAAAGGGAAATCCAGTTAACAGCTCATGGTTGTTCAGTGATTTGCAAGGATTTGGTGATCTCTGTCATATTCATTGAGGAAAGGTGTTCACATGAGAACCCCCCCTTAATTGGCTCTTTGCTGCCAATCCAGACAGAGGCAAAGTGATTAGAAGAGGGAAACCTAATGTCTCCCATCCTCACCCCAGAAATTTATTATATTTTTGGCCAGGGTTTGAAGTACATTGCTGGGAGAGCTTTGAACTTTCCCTGCTTGTAGGTCTGTGGCATATATGAGATTTAAATCTCCAGGACTATCGAGCCCTATCACCAAAATGCATTAAGAGCCTTGAGTCAAGAGTCTCCATCCTATCCTGGAGTAACCTTTGCTTTGAATTGTTGGAAAAGCTTCAGGAAGGTCTTACAACACTCATGTGCTTATTGGCAGCAGTTAAGTAACAGGTTTCCTGCCTTTAGAAGCTGCAAATCTAACCCGAAAAGAAGAGGTCTAAATGAAATCTAGAGGGAAATTGAATGTAGGTTAGTGGTAAGTGAGGCTGAGCTGCCTCTACAGCAGAGTCACCAGTAGTATTTCTTTTTAAAGGCAAAGGGTTCACTATAGAAAGATCATTCCCTAAAGAGGGGATGTGCAGTCATCTTGCTGACATCAGAGAAGCAGAGAGAGAAGCAATTCGAGGAAATCCACAGAATCCTTGATTGGCTTGGTTTGCTGCCAATCTGCCAGGGGGCAACAGGGCTCTCATGTTTTTTGATTCACAGAAACTTAAATCCATGTTGAGCACAATTACATGTTGTCAGCACTGCAAGTTAAAATGAATAATTCTTGGAAGCAAAGCTGCATCTGTTAGTTTGAATTTGCAGAACTGTGAAGACAGCCAAGAAAAATACTCACCGTCTCTATGAGATGACATATCATCTTAGCTTCCTAGCTAATGCTTTAGGTGTCCTTGTTGTTTGTGGTGGCCTACAAGTGGCTGGTCCCATAAAAGCAAACCAAACTTGTTTATGTTGGTGTGGGAGAAGAGAGCACTCTATTTCCCTTAGACACAGTATGTGACATAGAGCTTGCTCTCTCTCTTACTCACACACACAGTGGGTTCAAAAATGGAGTTCTTGAGCTTCATTCTGAGGTTTGCTGGAAGTGGTTTTTGTAACTTGGCTAGAGTTGATGGATCATAAAGGATTTAATGTGGGATTTTTCATTTTGCCATTTATTTACAAATGAAATGGCTTTCTTGGTGAGTAAAAGTGTTATATTAGCAGTCTTGTAGAGCAGCATTTCTCAACCTGTGGCTCATGACCCAAAAGTGGTTCAGAAGAATATATGAAAGGGTCATGAGCAAACTTTAAAAATGGATTCTCTTTTAAAGGAGAAACCTGTGGGAAACTGTGGCTTTTCCTTTGCAGGCTGGCAGAGCTCCAGCCTGCAAGGGGCTGCTTGGAGGGGGCCCCATGCCACACACTGGGGGGCAGTGGGTCAGGACCAGCTATCTATGTTTACAAATGGCTCCTGGTACAAAAAAGGTTGAGAACCACTGTTGTAGGGGGTATCCCCAACATAAACACAGTAGAGCTGCACCCTGTTTTCTGTCTTTACAATTCATCTTTGACCTAGGTAAAATCAGAGGAAGGAAGAGGACAATTTGCCTCTAAGGCCCATTTAGTTTTCATTTTCTTCTTTGCCTGCCATTTAGCCCCAGTTGCGGTAGTGGCTTTTCTGATAGAGACACCTGCCCACCAGCCAGTAGACTTGATACAAATAATTTGTCTCACACAGGCCACCAGACAGCTGCTATATTACAATGACTTTCAGTCATGATTTGCCTGGGTAGGATTTGAACCAGTAACCTAGAAGTGAAAGGCCTTGTATTATTCCATAAACCACTGAGGGACAGCAGCTGTACAAACTTTTCTCATGCAGTTCTTCTAGTGCGTTTACCTCCTGACCTGTGAACTTTATGCTCTTCCCTCTGCAGGGCTCCAGTGCGCAACTTAGTTTACACTCCTCAGCCATGTTTTTCAAATGTAGCTGGATGTTTTGGGGAGCCTTAGCTGTGGAGAGCGGATGGTGCTTCACATTATCTGACAGCCAGGCGAATTTTAAAGCCTCACTTCCCAAACTGGACAAGTTTCTGCCCTCCAGACTGCAGCTGCTTCTGTTGCAGCCAGTTCTCTTGCACCCCCTGAAGCTTCCCTTCTTGCCAGTTCTCTTGTGCCCCCCTTCAGCCACTGTCGATGCTGTTTGCCGGTAGCAGTCACTGGCAAGGGAAGCTGGCAGCAGAGATAGTGGTGACAGCAGCTGAAAAGGGAGGGCAAAAGAAGTGGTAGTAAGGGAAGCAGTGGCGGAGGCAGCTAACGTAAGGTGTGTGTAGGTGGCCGAAGTAGAGGGGTGTAAATCACCCCCCACAGGAGCCTTTTGTTCCCCCCCACACATACACATTGGGTGTGCACCACAGCGTGGGAAATGCCATTTGAAGATGTCAGGTTGAGCATACAAAAACTGAGACACCAAAAATCACTTCAGATTCCTGGTCAAGGTTTTCAAGCTCACTGCTCACCACGCTGCTGTAGTCCTGAGCCTCCAGTCTTACCCTTTTCCCCCAATCCACATCACTTATGACCTAAAGAAACCTTGGTGTTCCAGATTTTGGACAGCAAATTCTGTGTATGCACTGCAGTCCTGACCTCTTAGTTCCCTTGCTGTTCCAGTCCCAAGCAGAGTATTTGTGCCAGTTTATCAGGAACGGGTGTTCTGATGCACACACGTTGTTCCCATATTACTCTCCAAACTCTTTTTCATTTGTTTTCTGCTGTGAAGATTTGAGCCCGAAGGGTGGAGGGCAGAGTGCACACCAGCTGTTCTACCTAGCTATCAAGTGCTTGCAACATTAAACATTTTGTTTTAAACGTGAGCAGCATGGTTATTTTCTGGATGATTTTTAAACTGGTACGAAAATAATTGTTATAGATTGAAAACAATTCTTTGGAAACAGAGCACTTTAAAAGCCTTGGCTCTGTGTTTTAAATTGTTTACTCTCACTATAGTCGGAGTGGGAGCCAGTGGATGGCTTGGAAGATGAGGAATTAATTTTGAAATCCAGTCTTGAGGTTCCATCTACTTCAAAAGAGTTTTTGGGTGGTGCTGAAGCAGTCTCCATCACAAAACTGTCACACTTAGTTGGTGTGATTGACCAAGTCTGCTCAGGAAAGCTATCCTGGAGACTGAATGACCCTCCTAACCCTTAGAGGGGGTTGGGAGTGAGCAGGGGGAGAGTGGGAGAGACATTCAGACTGTTTGCAGCATATCAGCCTCTGGAACACAGTCCTAGTTTGCTTTTGGTAGACAAACAGCTTGTCGCTCTTTTGTCTGTTCCTTTAATTTGTGAATCTCAAAGAACTAGCACCCCATTTTCTTGTGGGTTACTCTGTTTCTTTGATTCTAGTGTCTGAAACTTTTTAACTGACGGTGTTGAACACGCAGCTAAAATTAGCCAAGTGTAGGTTGAGAAAGGATTACCCATGTTTTTCTTACCTTGCTTCCCCAATTCCCCAGTCTTTTAGCAGAGGAGTTAAGGGGCTCTGTCAAGTTAAAAATCATGTTTGTTAAAGTAAACAGCAAACTGCTCCCTTTTGCATTGTTATTTACCCCTTAAATTACTACAACTGAGACAATTACCAAAATTCAGATATATTTTGACCATTTTTATGCTTTACCATTCAATGGTACTTGATTTAGACAATTAAAATATGTCAGCTTCACTTTAGGATTCCTTCCCCCCGCCCTTTAAATTCAACTTTGTTTTTAGGTTCCCAAGCACAACTGATGATGCTTCAGACACCCTAAGGAGAATGTTTATTTTTTTAAGCAGGGAAAACAGTTTCTGATGGAGTTTAAAAGAAGAAAGGAGAAAAATCTTTCTGTAGGTGTTCAGTTTCCTGACTGCTTAGTTTTTGCAAAACCTTGATTATGAGCCACAATAACCCATCAGTAGCCCTTTAAGGGACATGTTGGCAGCTAAGCTGTCCAGGTTTACAGCAAATATGTTGTTTTAAGAATGACTGGAATTCTAGGAGGAGGGAGAAGGGAAGCTTTGACCTCCATGTGCACATGTGCTGCTGGCAGCATCTCCCTGCTCTTCACTGTGATTAAATGAATAAATCAAAGAGCACCAACTTTTTCCAATCCCCCTCTGCAGTGAGGCTCCCTCTCCTGTTTCCCAGCAGCTAGGATAAATGAAATATTTCCAAGAATGTAGGAGAAGGTTATTAAGCTCTTTTGAAATTGTTTTGTTTGGGGTGGGAGCTTGTCTGGCATGATCTTTGGGCCATGCAGTTACATTTTTGTCTCTCTTACCAGATCCGAATGCATCAATAAGTTTGCCTCTGTCTTCGGGACCATGCCTCTGAAAGTGGTAGAGCACCGTGCAGATCCTGTCCTCTACAAAGATGACTTCCCTGAGAAACTGAAGAGCTTCCCTAATATTGGCAGCTTGTAAAAGGTGGTTACGAGACTAAAAAAATGCAAAAACAGTGACTGGTGCTAAGACAAGCTCAAGGCTCTGAAGGAAAATGCAGAGAGGGGGCTTTAGCGTGAGCAAAGGAAGATTGATACCAGGCTTCTGGTATACCTGTCCTTCCTGCACAGTGTATAAGACTGTAATGCAGAGCCATGGAGTTCTTTCCTTGTTGCACATTTACACGGGATTGACTCTATTTATGGTTCCACTGAAAATGCCAGTAAAATGCCAGGAAAATCCCCTCCCCCTGAGTGGAGGCTGCACATCTGGAAGAATAAAACAGCATCTTACTTTGTAGGGGCTAGCTGGCATGTTTCATCTCTTTTAAACAGTCTCGCCCTTCTTTATTTTAGTGCATCTACCAAATATGAGAGCAAACTGTTTTTAATACTGGCTGCAGTATCCAGCCTGTTTTTTTCCATGAGGCTGCCTGCATCTGTTGAGATGAGTTGTTGGTTTTAAGTAATTGTGCAACAAGCTTTTCTGACTTTTTAGGCTTAGGAAGATAAATGTTTATTTTTTATTTAAAAAATCACAAGCTTTTGTTGCAGGGCTTCAGGGGCTAAACATTTTGTATTAAGTGATTGCAATGAGAGTTGATGCTGATGGCAGCCAAGAGGGACGTTATCCTTAACTTAAAGATTTGTGGGATATACTTTCTGTCACTACACTTCTTTCCTATATATGAGTCTCAGGTTTTCTACTGTTGCTGTAGAAGATAATTTTACCTAGTATAAAATGCAGTCCTTTTTTTTTTTTTTTTTAAGGAAAAACACGTCTTAAAGCTTTTGCTTTCTCTTACCAAGACAGATCAGTTATTGGTTCATACTCATACAGCACATCCACATACTGGAACAGCCACTAAAATGTGATCCTCATGTGTATGTATTTCTGAGAGCAGGTTAAAATAGGCTCTTGATTGGGATGGTTTAGTCAAAGGTGATCCTATCTTGAGCAGGGTGTTGAACTAGATGACCTCCTGA